AGTCAGTCAGTCAGTCAGTCAGTCAGTCAGTCCGTCCGTCCGTCCGTCCGTCCGTCCGTCCGTCCGTCCGTCCGAAAGTCAGCCAGTCAGTCAGTCAGTCAGTCAGTCAGTCAGTCAGTCAGTCAGTCAGTCAGTCAGTCAGTCAGTCAGTCAGCATCAGTCCCCCACGCGCCCGGACCTACCTTCAGCCCCCAGCCGCCGCCGCCAACCGCCAGCTCAGCCGCCGCGCCCAGCCAGCGGCGGCGATGGCATCCCTGCACCTGCGCGTGGCAGATCAGCCAGCCAGCCAGCCGGCAGACTGGCTCTAACTGCGTGCGGGGCAGAGCAGCGAACTGGTTCAGAACGGCCTGCGTTACTGTAACGCCGTTACAGTTTGTAGACGCGCCGCGGCAAGTAGGCCCACCATCAATTTCGAAGTCCAAGTTCAAATCCCCGTCGAATGCGTGGGTTGTCGTTCCTCGTCCTCGATCGTGCTAGTGCGGGCACCAACCAGATACCGTAGCCATTTTGGCTCAAGCATTAGCCATTTTGGCTCAAGCCCTCTTGGCGCAAACATGAATAAAGGTATGTCGCGTTTGTCGAACGGACGCCCCATGTCGTCGGGGTCGGGCGGGCGCGGGCGCGCCGGCCATGCGCGGCCACTGCCGCTGCCGCCGCCGCCGCCGCCTGCGCCCCAGCCTCTTGTGCTTTTGTTGTATTGATCGCCTTTGTTGTTTGCAAGGCCCGCTGTCCAGGGGCGCACCTCGCGCACGACTGTTGGGGAAGGGGTTTCTGTCCAGTCCCTGCTCCGTGCTCTGGTTGGCCCGGGGGCGGGGCTGGCCGTTGAGGCTTTAGGGCTTCTGGGCTCCAGCGTCGTTCGTGGGCCTCCAGCTGCGTTCTATGATCCTCCTGCTGTGGTGCGACACGCAAGATTATTGCTGCGTCGTTTGCTCGTCATTGTTTCTCTTGCTCCCAATGTGCGGCACCGTCAACGATCGATCTCTGGTTCGTCGCAAATGCTTGCGTGCGGGCGGTTGTTTTGCATGAATGTTTTGCCCTCTTAATTCGTTTCCTCCACGCGCATGCGCGTTCTCCCTCTCGCTTGCACGTGCGCTGGGTTGAACGCAGTAGGGTAAAGGGGATTTTGATGTGGAAGCCTGGCGTCGACACGTGCCGGTGCACCTGTTGCTCCGCTGGCGCACGTGGTCCATGCTTGTTGCTTGTGTCCTGCCTGCGTCACGGACTTGCCTTGGCTGCTTCATGCCGTCGCGCAGTGTTGCCCCTGATGCCGCGCCCGCCTGCGTGCATCGCAAAGCTCGCCCCGCGTCCTTCCCTTGTTGTTTCCCCCCCCCTCCCCTGCCCCCCCCGCCCTGCCTTTCCCCTGTTTACGCATGCGCACTAACGTTGTCATCGCTGTCATGTATTGCAGCGCTTGGCGCTGGGCGGGCCTGGTGCGGTTCTGCGCGCGCCAACCGAGAGTGCAACGCCAGCATGCTTGTCTGTGCCTTGCCTGCGTCGAGGTCGCGCGCGGCCGCGCGCGGCTGCACTGCAAAACGATGTTTGGCCCGCGCCCCCCTGCATGCTGAAGATCACTGGCTGCCCTATTATGCTGCAGGGGGGATGTCTGCCGGCGCCCCGTTGCCGGGAGGTGGCGTCGTCTGGAGATCTACTCAACAAAACTCTCTCCCTGCCTTCGCCCCCCCGTCTTCTCGCCCTCTTCTCCTTCCTGTCCGCGTCTTCCCCCCGCGGCTTCCTCTCCGCCCCCCCCCCCACGAGAATGTTCGTTGGCAATCCTGCGTAGACATGATTTCAAAGGTGCCGGTTTTTACCTAACAGCGAAGACTGATAGGTTTCTAGCGGCGTCAAAAAAGAACATCTGATGACTCAGATGGGAGGTCTGGGCGGCATCCGGACAGCGAGGGCCGGGCTCAGGGCCGGGCTCGTTTTAAGCAAACAATCACACACTTCGTGCTCTTCGACCTCCCAGAACTCCATTCCCGGGCCACATTTTGAATGCCCGGAGCCAACTGTAAGCCACTTCGTGCTCTTCGACTTCCCAGACCTCCATCCCCGGGCCACATTTGGGATGCCCGGAGCCAACTGTAAGCCACTTCGTGCCCTTGGACTTCCCAGAACACCATTCCCGGGCCACATGTTGGATGCCCGGAGCCAACTGTAAGCCACTTCGTGCTCTTGGACTTCTCAGAACACCATTCCCGGGCCACATTTTGAATGCCCGGAGCCAACTGTAGGCCACTTCGTGCTCTTCCACTTCCCAGAACTTCATTCTCGGGCAACATTTTGAATGCCCTGAGCCAACTGTAGGCCACTTCGTGCTCTTCCACTTCCCAGACTTCCAAGACTCATCATCTTCATCATCACCATCGTCCCCGTAGCCTTCTTGGCTACAGCCCTGCTTTCGAAGATGTCCTTTCAAAGGAACTGCGCAGCGCCTACTGCACACCTTAATGCCTGGACATGCTGATAGTTCTCGGTCTGGCGGCGGTGCTCCTGACCCTGCTGCATTGAACAGCGGTGCTCCTCAGCCTGCGGCAGGGAACATCGCTGTTAGGTTGCTTTGCCGGGATATTTTTTTTTGTTCCTGCTCCTCTCCTCTCCAAGTCCCAGCCCCAGTCTCTGGCCGAGTCCGCAGCGAAAGAGGGCGCTGCACCCGGCTCCCTCCAGCTGGCCCCCGGGCTGGGCTGCCGGCGCCCGCGGTCGCCTTAGGCGGCCCGACGGGCCCGCCGGCCTCCGCGCGGTCTTCGCGCCGCCAGCCGCCGCCGCCCGCCGCCCGCCTGGCCGAGCCGCCTTGCGGGCCTCGGCCTCCGGAGGCTTCCGGGGGCGCCCGGAAGCCGCGGAAGCGCTCGAGGCCCTGGCCCGGCCGGCTCCCCACCGCGCCCGGGCAAGGCCGCCCGCGAAGGCCGCCAGAGCTGCCCCGGCCCGGCGGCCCGCGGCCGCAGCGCCCGCCGGCCCTGCCCGCCTGCCGTGCGAGCGCCGGCCCAGGAGCTGAAGTACACGACCACCCGGATGAGCATCGATAGGGCTCGCTGCCACTGGTCCCTTTTCGTGCAAGCGCCAATCCCAGCACTGTTGTCGATGATATTGGGCTCCATTTTCTGCACCTGCCTGCAAACGATCGCCGATTAGGCCCGCTGCCACTGCTCCCGCTTTGTGCGCGCGCCAACCCCAGCCTTGTAACCCACGACGTCGGGTCCCAGCTTCGCGTCCAACATCGCGCTGAGCAGCACGAATGCCTGTTGCCACTGTCCCCTCTTCTCTCCCGCGCTGATCCCAGCATTGTAGCTGATGACGCTTGGCTCCACCTTCGCCTCCCACATTTCGCTGAGCAGCGTGAGAGCCCGCTGCCACTGCGCGCCGTTCGCGCACGCGCTGATCCCAGAGTTGTAGCTGATCGCATCTGGCTCCAACCTCACTTCCCACATCTCGCAGAGTGCCACTGCTCGCCTTTCGTGCATGCGCTGATCCCAGAGCTGTAGCGGATGACACTTGGCTCCACCTTCGCCTCCCGCATCTCGCTGAGCAGTGGGAGAGCCTGCTGCCACTGCTCGCCGTTCGAACACGCGCTGATCCCAGGGATGATCCCAGAGTTGTAGCTGATGGCATCTGGCTCCAACCTCACTTCCCACATCCCGCAGAGCAGCGATAGAGCCCGCTGCCACTGCTCGCCTTTCGCGCACGCGCTGATCCCAGAGCTGTAGCTGATGACACTTGGCTCCACCATCACCTCCCACATCTCGCTGAGCAGTGAAAGAGCCCGCTGCCACTGCTCGCCGTTCGCACACGCGCTGATCCCAGGGCTGTAGCTGATGTCATTCGGCTCCAACCTCACTTCCCACATCCCGCTGAGCAGTGATAGAGCCCGCTGCCACTGCTCGTCTTTCGCGCAGGTGCTGATCCCAGAACTATAGCTGATGTCACTTGCCTCCACCTTCGCCTCCCACATCTCGCTGGGCAGCGAGAGAGCCCGCTGCCACTGCTCGCCTCTCGCGCATGCGCTGATCCCAGAGTTGTAGCTGAGGACACTTGGCTCCACCTTCGCCCCCCGCATCTCGCTGAGCAGTGGGAGAGCCTGCTTCCGCTGCTCGCCGTTCGTACACGCCCTGATCCCAGTGCAGAACCCAGAGTGGTAGCTGATGGCATCTGGCTCCTACCTCACTTCCCACATCACGCAGAGGAGCGATAGAGCCCGCTGCCACTGCTCGCCTTTCGCGCACGCGCTGATCCCACAGCTGTAGCTGCTGACACTTGGTTCCACCTTTGCCTCCCACATCTCGCTGAGAAGCGGGAGAGCCTGCTGCCACTGCTCGCCGTTCGCGCACGTGCTGATCCCAGGGCTGTAGCTGATGTCATTTTTTGATTTCATTTCATACCGCAGCGACGGGGGCCGGAGCACCGCGCGACCGCGCGCGCCGCCCCAGCGCGCCCCCCCGCGCGCGGCCCGCTCAGGTCGCAGCCGCCCCTGCGCTCCCGGGGCAGGGCCGCGGGGCCGACCCCGTCTCGGGAAGGGTCTTTCACCCCCGTCGTGGGTCGGCCCAGGCGCCACCACGGGCAACGGCGCCCTGGCCTCGCGGCCAGCGCGACCCCTCCCCGACCGGCACCTCCGAGGGCAAAAGGGGAGGGGCGGCGCAGGCGAGGTGCAAGGGGGGGCAGAGTTCGCTCCTCCCCCTCCCCGGCCGCTCGCGGCACGGGGACGGACAGCAGCCAGGAGGCCGCGCGAGCGGTCGAAAGAGGAAAAGAAAAAGGGGGGACGAGGCACAAGGCATTGGGCAGCCAGATGGCATGGGGGAAGACCGCCGCCACAGACGCACAGAGCTACGCGGCTGCACTGGGCCCCTGGGCGCGGCAGCCTCGCCCAGCCCTTAAAAGAACAAGGGCCAATCGCAGTCAGATCCCAACCGGATCCAGCGCCACAAGCGGCGGTGAAATTGCTTAGGTCCCCCTGGGGGGCTGGGCCGCAGGCCCCCCACCAGGTCGGGAAGGAATTTCAAACGGGCGCGAGCCTATCGAGTCGTGCAAGGCGCGCGCCACGTAGAGAACGTGGTGCCACCTCTCTTCAGGCGGCGGCCCCTCGCAGAAGAGCTGGTACATGTACATGGCCGCGTGCCGTAGCGGCGGGAGCAGGGCGCGAGACTCCAAATCGGCACGCTGCGCGGCCTGCCTGGGCCAGCCACAAATAGCATGGGCAATGTCCACCTGCGCAGCTCCGCAAGCAGCACAGCGGTCCAGAGTGACGGGGAGACACGGCACGCCAAGGACTGGGAGGGGCCATGCCCCAGACATACGCGCAACGGACCACATGCGAAAGTTGCGCCACATATGTGGCCCAAAATCCAACTGAAGTAAGGCCATCGGTAGCTGGTTGGGCTCGGGGACGAGCACAGCAAAGGACATCCCGAGCGTGGGCAAACGGGCGCCGGTCGCGCGTTGGAACGCGGCCCGATCGCGCGCCCGCAGGGCCGGGCGAACCACCTGGAGTTTGAAGTCACGCAGCAGAGACCCACGCAACTGCAGAGAGCCCTGGGCGCCACGCAGAGGGTGGCGGAAAGCTGGGTGGACATCGATGTCCAGGACAGGTGGCGCGAGCTCCGCCATGCGGGCGGCGACGGCGCTCGCCCAGGAGGCGCACGTGAGGCGGCGCGCCAGCGCGAGCATGCGGGCGCCAGGGTGGTCGGGAGGCTGCGCCAAAAGACGGGCGCGCGCCACGATTGCTCGCTCGAGCATCCGCGTGCCCAACTGGCACGTCCAGCCGCATTGCGCAACGACCACCTCGCTGGGCACAGGGGGGCCAGTGGTGCACGCCAGGAGCCTCCTAGCCCACGCGGCCTGCATGCGATTCAACTCATACTCAGCCCGATGGGCCAAGCGCAGAAAAGGAGAAGGGTATAAGATAGCGCTCTCGAACCGGAGAGGGACCTGCGCAGAAAGGACGGGGGGACCGAATCCGCCGCTCTCCCCAGCGTGGAAAAGCGCTTCAAACAGCGCGTGGCCGCGGGCCAAAACAGAGCGGAGGAGGGGTTGAAAGGTGAGTTCGGCGTCAACGAGAACGCCAAGCACCAGCTTCTGATCCACAACGGGGCAGCCCACCCACCCGGGGTCGGGGCTACCAGCAACGGCCATGGCCGCTGTTTTACCAGAGGCGCAATTAAGGCGGCACGGACAGCGCGGGCAAACCGGCTACACGCAGAATCTGGCTCGGCAGATACAACGGCGCGGAGGGCGCCTGGGGGCGGGCAAGGGACAGTCAGATCGTCAGAGAACTGCAGTGGCTGCAAGTGCCCCGCACCCAGCGCGTCCTGGGCTGCGGCACGATCGGCTTCAGTGGCCCCTCCGCACGCCCACTCGGCCAGTTCCGCCGCGGCTCGAGCCCACGGCGCGCCCTCGCCCAGTGCCGTTGCGGAGACGCTAGTCGCGATCGCCGCGGCCGCGTCGATGGAGGGGGGCGAAGGGGGGCGGAGTGGAAAGGGAGGGGGAGGATCCACGCCAACTGGACAAGCACGCCGGTAGACCGGCGGAACCCAGGTTTCACAACCCTGCGGCAGGACAGCCATTACAGCACCAGCTAGCCACTTCACCTCGGCATTAAACACACACGCCGAAAAACGCTTACCTTGGGCGGTGCCGAAGGGCAGCCGAAAAAACTCAGACGCCAGCCCCTGGAGGGCTACAAACTGGATGTCCATCTGGATGAAACCATCCAACAAGAGCCACTCGTCCTCCACCACGCCACCAAGATACGACGACAGGCGCATGGCATCATGCGAGGCCACATCAAAGGCCCAGCGAAGGTCAGTAAGCGCCCAGTACGTGGGGAGCCCTTGGGCGCCGCGGAGCTGCGCGTGGAGCAGCAGCGCTAGCAACACAAGCAAGGGGTCCCCGACCCCGCCCTGCTGGCCAGCGCCGCAATATTGCGTGAGCGCAGAGCGGTTGCGCTGTGCCCAGAGGGCGTCCACAACCGCAGACATGACAGTGGAGATCGAGATGGGCCGGAGGCACGCGACATCACGCACCACGCGGGGGCCCGACTTGTGAAGCGGTGTAAATTGCCTCGCGGACCAGCAGGTGCTGGTGAGACCACAGGACCTAGAGAGATTCGCCAACGCTAGCGTGAGGCGTCGGCCCTGCACGCATGGTGACTTAACGGAGGCGTAGCAGCCACGTAGCGCGCTGGATGCCACTTTAAATGTCTCTAAAACGTCCGCAAGCTCAGCCATGGAGTAAAGGCGCCGGCGCCTGGTGGAGAGACCGGCGCCAGCACGAGCCGCGCCGCTCTGGCGAACGGCGGACACCGCCCGTGCGGCGGCGAGGCATGCCTCACGGTCATGTGGAAAGTTGTTGGAGGCCCTCGCCTGCAGATCCTGCTCGATGGCTTGGAGCATCTCGTCGGCACTGAAACCCCGTCCCGTGGCAGGGTCGGCGAGTGCGATCTCAAACCTGTCTTGGCCGGCGAAGAAAGAGGACAGGAAGCGCTCCGCTGCCCCAGGGCTCAAAGCCCGAAGGTGGAGAAAACGTTGGGCCGCGCCCCTCCTAGCATCCCAGGCTGCCTGCGCGGCCGCTTTCTTAAGGCCTGGTGATCAGAGAAATCCGCCGGGGCTGGCCCAACGGGCCGGCGTCGCTTGCGAGACGCCGCCGACGTCACCGCACGGGTGACCCCCGCAGCGCGGCCCGCAAGAGTGCATAGCACGTCCCGTGACCACGCGGCCACGTCCAGGAGCACGCGGCGCTGGGCGACAGAGGCCTGGCCTCCGCTCCACGGAGGGCGGAGCCACGGCGCATGCACGCACAGCTTAACCACAGACGCTGCAAATTGGAAAAGCGGTTCCACCGCGCTAAGGGCGTCATCGCACTGGGAATCAGTGCGCCAGCTGACTCGGCCAAAACCTACGTGCGCGGAGCGGTCACACTGGCACGGCATTGACCAGCACAGCAGGCGGTGGTCAGAGGCCACGGCCACGGCCTCCTTGACAGCAACGGAGATCTGTTGGCCCAAGTCCGCGAGGACAAGGTAGTTCACGTGCCAGAATCGTGCGTGGGCACCGGCGGGTTGCACGCGATGAGCGAGGCAGCGCACAGCATCGCCTCGATATCGCGATCTTCCGGGGATTGGTGACACTGGCAGCAGCCGCACCCCGGGCGGTGCGAAAGGACGTAGGACAGATGGATACTTGCATCCCCAGCGACGAGGAACGAGGCATGCGGAAAGCGCGAGCGCAATCGAGTGAGCTCACCAAGGATCGCGCTCCGGGTTCCCACGTCGCCGCCTGGCGCTGGGTAAACTGCGGCAAGAACAAGAGACGGCCCCGACGCAGCAGTAGTGCCGCTCGACGAGGTCCAAACTTCAAACCACTGGACCCGCGCAGACGAGACGTCAGGCAGCGGGCGGACTACCAGAAGCAGTTCGGGTCGCAAGAAAAATCCCGACAATGCCCCACGAAGCAGAGCGTTCGCCCAGCCAACAGTACGGGTACCCTGCCGGCAGCGCCGCACCCGGCGGGAATCGCGCACCAGGGGTGATGCAAATATCGATATTCTCATCGTGCAGAAGCTGCGCCATCGCCTGCAACCGCCAATCTAAGAGCGCGTCTGTGGCGAGGGCGAGCAAGCCACACCGGCCCGGGTTTTAAACGGCCATGCGCAAGGGCTGCTGGCTTGACGACTCCAACGGCGGGCCCGCAGCTCCGGCGGCGTCGGCAGCCAGCACTGGGCCCGCGAACGGCGAGATCACGGGCGGTGGGTTCCCGCGCGCAGGACGCAATGGAGGGACGACCTCTTCGGCGAGGAAAGCTCGCAGCTGCCGGCCTAGAGCGATGATCAGAGGCCCAGCCTCGCGACTCCCCTGCGTGCGAAGCTGCGGTGGCGGCTCGGGGGCACAAGCAAGCAAGGCGAGCACGTCGCGAAACGCCGCTCCCCTCTCCAGGCCCTTGGTTTCGACGCCGATCCAGCGGTTCACTAAGTCGCGTAGCGGTGTCAGGGGGGCGTCGCCGCCCCCGGCGAACATGCCTCCGCCCCTGCGCGGGCGGCCTCCGGCGGGGCTATGCACGGATAGGCCAGGGAACCCTGGTAACGGCTGCGGGGAAGGCGGCGCGGCTGGCGGGAGGGGGGGGAGGAAAGGAAGGGGACGAACGGCGCGGAGCGGGGGGGTGCCGGCCAAGGGGGGGCAGACGGCGGACGACACCGCGGAGCGGACGGATCATCATCGTGAGCAACGGGAAGCCTTCAGGGGCCGCTGGAGGGGAGGGGGCAAGGGACAAGCCTTACGACCAGTACCCATCAAGGAGCGACGCGGCCCAGCCCGACAAGCAACAACGATGAGCACGATCGACGCCACTATGCAACTGCAGCTTTTTCACTCGACACACCTCGTTGCAACCAATGGGGTTCATAGGGAATCCGGGGCCAGACCGCCACACCGCTTTGGGTGCCAGTCGCAGTGGGCGGCGGCTGAGCTGAGAAATGCGAAGCGAGGAAAGCGCAGGACAACTGGAAAGAGGCACCCGCCCCCGCGGGGGGCGAGCCCGCGCCCGCTGGGAAGCTATCGCAGGTGCAGGAGCGCAACTGGCGCAGCGGTGCGCGGGCGCACCCGGCTCCGTGGCCGGCGAGGGCACCGCGCTAGGTGCCAGCGCCCGACGGGGGCTGGCGAAGCAACTCGCGTGCACTTCGGCGCCGCACTGGAGCCGAAAGAAGCCCCTGCGCCGAGGCCTTCGGCTCGGGGCCCTCGATTTCCGTGACGAGGCCGAAGAGAAGCAGGAGCACCTCAATATGCTCTTCAAAGAGAGGGCGGGTGGCGTGCATGCAGCTGGATGGACAAAACCTGCTTGGGTGAATGAGAATACGTGATATTTAAGCCAGGCTGTGAAAAGTCACCAGTCCCAAGGGCGAAGGAGGGCACTGCGGCCACCTGTTTCCCAGCTCCGCCGCGGCGCATGCCGGCCAAAATCGCCACCCCCATCGCCATGACAGCATTGTGGAGGTCAACCTCCGAGTGGCAGCGAGGCGAAATAGACCGCGATCTTCGCGCGGCCGTCCCCGGGCTTTGGCCCGAAGGACTCGCGGACTTTGTACAGCCAGCCGGAGACAGCCTCGCGGAGCTCAGCCTCGCTCCCGAGGGCGGCAAACTGGCGCGGGTCAGGCGCCGCCGCGGCCGAGCCAACGAGGTCAAGCAGCGGCAGCGCACTGGGGGGCCCGGGGGGGCCCGCCGCATGGGGCGAGGGAGCTGCGCAAGACAATTGCGGCACGTGCTGTGGCGCGGCAATAAGCACCGAGAGCAGCGGCGACAAGGCGGGCGGAAGCGCACGCGGGGGCGACGCCAGCGGCGCGGGCTGGGTTGGCGGCAGGGCCCCGCGGACGCCCCGCACTACTGTAGCCACAGCCGCGCATGCGCGGACGCGCTCCTCCTCGCATGCTCGGACGCGCTCCTGGAGCCGCGCGGCACACGCCGCGTACTGGACAAGTTCGGGGGGCTGGTCTGGGCGCACGACGCCGGAAGCGCGGCGTAACCACGCAATCCCACCCCCCGCGCCGACCAGCACTTCCCAGCCTGCGCGGGCAACTTGGAGCTGCTCGAGCTCTTGGCGCAAAGCTGCCAGCTCACTGGCGTGGTCCTTCAGGGCGCTTGAAGAGGGCTGCGGAGAGGAACTGGGCGGGAGCGCCTTGACCAAGGGCGCAGTCGGCCCACCTGCGGCGCCCGCCACAGCTGGGGCGTGCCCACCTGCGGCGCCCCCGACAGCCGCGGGAGCGCCGGCCACAGACAACGTGGCTGCCATGGGCACCAGCGCCGTGCCCAGATGATCCCACTGAGTGCGACCTCAGCTGCGATGCTGGAAAAATAAAGCGCCGCTGCCCGAGTCACGCCGGGACTCCCACCCCGGCGGAAGGGGCGGCGGGCTAAGAAGCGGCGCGCCCCGCGACGCGGGCAGCGGGCTAGCCGGGGGCGAGGCCGCCGCGGCCTTCGGGGTGGCTGGCGACGCCGCCCCTGTGTAGGCGGCGTCGGCCGCGCTCGCTTTCGGCGGCGGAGGCGGCGGCGGCGGCGGAGGGGGCGGCGGGGACTCTTGGCCCAGCGCCGATCCACCTCGTTGGCGGGCTGCGCGGCGGGCTCAGCTCAGGGGGGCCCGCCGTAGCCGGGGACAAAACCGCGCAGCCCTTCGCCGCCGCACCCGGGAAGATGCCCCAGTCGCCAGGAAGCGGCCCGGCCGGGAATGGGCACGGGGTGGCGGGATGCGACGGAATCAGGGCGCTGAGCGCAGCGCTGAGGTCGACCTCCGAGCCGCGTGGCGGAGGGTGGCTGTCTGCCACGGGCGTTGGGCTGCATTCGCGGTCACGGTCATGGTCACAGTCCCGACCCTGGTCATGGTCCCGATCGCGGCGGCTGCGATCGCGATCACGGTCGTGGTCCCTGGCCCTGTCCCGGTCGCGGTCTCTGTCCCGGTCGCCATCACGGTCGCGGCCCCGGTGGCGGACTCGCTCCGAGGACAGCCTGGCCGCGGCACTGGTCCCCTGAGCGAGCACGGGGGAACCTCGGTCCGCGCAGTGAGCCTTCGAGCCAAAGCGCGTGTACATGCGGAGGCATCAGCAGGGGCAGGAAACAAGAACTTCCTCCCCGTGCGCGCTCAGCATGGGCGGCCGGACAACAAGTACGAGGGCGGGGGGGGGAGAGCAACGCATGCTAGGGTAACTTGCACTCCCGCTCACGCTCTCCACGCAGGCCACAAACCCAAGGCAGCCCTCCGCACGCGGCACGACACGGCACGGCAACAGCACAGCCAGACACGACACAACCAGAAATCGAAGCGGGAGAGCCAAATGTGGACAATTTCTTTTAGATCACCTAGGGCGCGGGGCCGCCGGCCCCCCACCAGGTCTAAAGGAAAAGCGGGCCCCAGGAACAGGCAGGGCAGGGGAGGCGGGGACCCCGGGGCCGCCCGCCGGAGACGGGGCCGGGGAGGAGAGCGGCGGCAGGAACGCACAGCGCACGGATTACAAGCTCCATTGACACGACGATGGCAAGGGGTGGCGAGCAGCACTTCAGAATTAAGCGTAAACTGAAAACAGTTGCATCGACCGCGTAAGCACCATGCACAGAAGCGAGAGAGTCAAATGTGGATATTTTCATTTGGATCACCTGGGGAGCGGGACCGCCGGCCCCCCACCAGGCCTAAAGGAAAAGCGGGCCCCAGGACCAAGCGGGGCAGGGGAGGCGGGAACCCCGGGGCCGCCCGCCGGAGACAGGAGGACAGGAGAAGGGAAGGGTGCTTTTGCTCACCCGCTGGCCTCGCCACACATCCTAAGCCGGTCACGTCTTATCTCTCCCTTTCCGGCGGCAGATGATACAACAACAGGCAAGTAGACAAGAAGGGAGGAAGTGCAGCCAAGCTGTGCCTCACTTCATGCTCCCGTGCAACATTGGCGACCATATCAGCAGATGTCCCGCGGAGGTTTCCTGGGAGAAAGGCCAAGTAGCTGGCGCAAGGCTTTTCGGCCCTCGCAAAACATGTCAGACATGCACTCTGGCAATGCCTCCCAATGGTTCTTATGGTGCCCGCCACCCGAACTCATGCGCACAGGGAACGGACTGCCTTCGGGAGGGAAGTCGCGGAGAGCCACCTTGCGAAATTTCGGCCGCTCGGCCAGGAGAAGTCGCTCAAGGTCTCGGGTCGAAAACCCGTCAGGCGTTAATCCAAGCACATCACTGGAGAAGGACCTCGCGATAAATCAGAGCCCTTGCCCAGGGCAGCATCGTCATCTATACCAGAAAAACCTAATTTCGCCAAGTTGCTTGAACGACAGCCCGACAATAGTAGGAGGGCGTGAGACACGGTGAAGCGCCCACACCCGTCGACACCGCACATGTCAGCAATCAGCTCCGTCTTCGTGCGACCCCGAAGGGCAAAGTCCGCGGGCACATAACCCGGCGTCACTCCCCCAGCCTCCTGTGCAGCTTGATACTGGAAGTCTGTCGGGAAAACCGAAAACTGAGCGTCACGAAGCTTGTGTGACAAATCCACCCTGCGGATCCCTGGGTTTATATCTAAGGCTACCACCCATTCAAACGAGAGCATGGCGAAGAAGACTACCCACGC